ATGACTTGCCCTGAGCTATGAAGTGTCTGAGGCCAAATTTGAACTCAGGTCTCCGTGACTCCAGGCCTGGCGCTCTATCAACTGCACCACCTAGTTACTCCAGATAGGCTCAGAGTTGTGTTTCTCATTTGTGTTGTTTGTCCATCATTTTCGAAGAGGACCATGACATTAGGAAGGAGCTGCCATGACAAGCAAGTGACCTGGATTTAAGTGAGGAAGGCTGTGCAAAGTCACCAGCCTCACTTTCTCCTCTGGAGCCATCTGGGCCCCGTGGCAAGACATAGGTCAGGATGACTGGACATGGCCCTGTGGCCTTTTTAAGCTAAGGTCTTTCCCGGGTCTCAGTTTGACTGAGGCAATGCGCATTCAGTGGTTAAGGCTAGGTTTCTCATTTAATGTTTCTCATTTAAGGATATAATAAATAACCAGCATGGTACAGAAGAAAGAGTGATAAATTTGGAGTCAGAACACTGGCAAATTCTAGCTCTACTACTGTGTGACCTTGACACACCCTGAACTGACCTTGGGAAATTCATCTCACCTCCATGGGTTCAAGTTCCCTTATCTGTAAAATGAGTGGGTGCCAGGCTAATTATGTGTCATTCCTCGTCAAGGTCTCTATCTTTTAAACATGGATTTCATCAAACAATCTTCCTTTCATTAAGCATTAAGTACCAAATGTGTGCCAACCACTGTGTTAAATCAAAGAGGTGGCCAAGTGATTAAAACTCAGCAGCTGGAAACACAAAGGCCTGAGTTTGAATCTTGATATAGATGCTCCCTTATTGGGTGACCCTGGGTAAGTCACTCAATCTCCCTGTGCCTCAGTTTCCTCATCTGTAAAATGGGGATAAGAACAGCACTGACCTTACAGGGTTGTTGTGAGGATCAAATGTGAACCTTATAGTACTAAATTACTGCTAGCTCAACACTAGCTTCACATAATACATTACGTGCTATATAATACATATACACACATGTATATACACATGTACATACATGTATATTTCTTACCCTGAAGGAGCTTAATTTCTTTGCTCCATATGTGGCATTACATCCCCTGGCTCCATGTCTTAGCATGTGTCCTCCCCTATTCAGGGCATTCACACTCACTTCACTTCTGCCTCTTGGAATCACTAGCTTATTTCAAGTCTTAGCTCACATGCCACTTCTTACGGGAAGCCTTCCATGATTCCTCAAGCTATCATCAGTATTTCCATCTGTTAGGATCATGGCCTCCATGAGCTCGAGTTGGAAGGTACCTCAGCTGCCATCCATTATAACCTCCTCATTTTACAGGTATGGAAACTGAGACCCATAAGCGCTAATGTAATTTGCCCAAGGTCACATAAGTATCAGGTAAAATTTGAACTCAGTTACATAGACTTCAGTCACTGCTCTTTCTGTTGAATGTCATTGCCTCGCTAAGTTATGTCACCTCATTCAACAGAATGGTAGCTTTGTTTGTTTGTTTTATGCTTACATCCCCATAGCCTAGGAGTCAGAGCATGACAACTGTCCGTTGGGTTAAATGAAATTAGCTTGGACTGGATGCTGTCTGAAGTTCCTTCCAGTTCTAAATCCTGTGATCGTATGTGGAGAAGAGAAATTAAGTGATTTGCCCACTGACAGTTTGTAAATGACACAACCAGAATATAGTCCATGTCTCCTGACCCACGGTCCAGGCCTCTACTCTCTTCACAATATTCCTTAATAATTGTTCAAATTTGTATAAAAGTTGAAGATTTACAAAGTTCTCTCCTCTCAACAACCTTGTGAATTGGGTAGGGAAAAGTAGTGTTATCCTCATTTTACATGAGAGGGGATACAGATAAAAAGAGAGACATGAACATGGAATTTTAGAACTGGAGGCATCGCATTTTTGTGGACTCAACATCCCTGACCTCCCTTTCTCTCCTCCCATGCAATCTGATTGGCCCCAACTTCCGTGACATGGTTTCCTGGTCTGATGGCATAAAAGGTAGCAGTCTGTGCCTCTTAGACTTGGTGGTGACTTCACCTGAGACCATGCAAGTTGCCATATCCTGAAGCCTGACCAGATGCATTTCCAGATGGAGATGAGGGGGCTGCATCCAGAGAAGCTCATTACATCCATATCCTTGTTATATATCTTTTTTTTTTTAAACAAAGTGAACCTCTTTTGGAGAAGGAATTGGCAAATCACTCCAGTATCTTTGCCAGAAAACCCCAAAAAGGAAGTCATGAAGAGGTGGACACAGCTGAATGACTGAACAACAAAATCTCCTTTGTCCAATGACCCAGGAATACCTTGTTTTACCCCAACATTGAACTTAAACCATTAAGGTGCCGGGGATACAATAATTACATTACTTTGTATAATTCTGTTATATTACATGTAAGAAAACACTTAAGTGTTAAGTGACTGTCTTTGTTTCATATAGCTAGTAAGTAGCAGAGTTAGAGCTAGAATTTCTGATTCTTATTGCAATTCATTTGATTATACCATCATTACAGACAAGACTTCTAGTTTCCCTTTGAGTTCAGGCACTATGATAACTAAGACCTCGTTTTCAACAGTGCCAACACAATCAACTGAAAATTTAGAAATTCAATCTAAGAATTGGATATTTTGTCTCTATAATACCAAATAATCAGTTCATATGACTTTTTTCTCCCATGAAATTGATACTGGTTTTGCCTTATTTTAAAGTAATTTCCTTTATTCATTAGTTACATGTTGTTAAGAAATGTACACAAAAAGTGAGTCGGTCAGATAGTGAGAGAGATTTCAGAGGAGAAGCGGGTGAGCCCCACAGAGTGCCTGTAATGATACAGTAAGTCTCAAGTGATAAAAGGGTCCAGGAATTTTAATTGAACTAAATGTTCAATAACAATTCAATCTAAGAGACACAAGTGTGGTACTTGGAACTACTCTGTTGTTGTTCTGTACAAGTAAAACACCATTAAATATTGACTGAATGTAAATTACTTATGTTTATTTTGCCATTAAAAGGAAATACCTGTTGATTCAAAATGAAAATAAATACTACACCAAGGCACAGAATGGTGCCTATTGGCCAGTCTTTATCAGTTATTACTTTATTAAATTCTGGCTACAAACTTCTACTATCTTAATCCACTGAGTTAGTAGTCATCCCTACTATATGGCAGGCACCAGTAATTCTGAGACTGGTATGACTCTTGCTTCTAAAATAAATATCCTAGGGGTGGGCATTGTTGATTTTTAACTACTTTTTCATGCTTATAAGAGTGGAGTTATGACTTTTGCCTGACTCTCTTAAAGATCCTTATAGTTCTGCTTCCTAGATGCTATTTCTGCTACCAAACAGGGGGGCAATGCTCAAGCTACTTATTTCTCTGTTACTCCTTCCATTTTTAAGGGATTTTTTTTTTTGGTCACATACCTAATGTGGTCATGTGACTTTTTCCTTCTGTTTTGCTGTGCTGCTTCCTATTTGTTTTCCTTTGAGAAGCTTGACCAAAGAGACTGATTAGATTTTTTTATATAAAATATGAATATTCAGAGACCTCCATGAAAGATGATGAGTAAAGTCATTAATGATATCCCCTTTCCTAACTTATTACCTTCTCCACAGGTTTGTTTTGAGGAAAGCAATTAATAAATCCTTATATAATATTAATAACAATGGTCCTTTGTGGGCCATATGAGCTAAACCCTAGAATGCCAAGAAGTCACTTAAAATCAAATTTTAAACAGAAAATGAGCTAAAGAACAACGCATTTTGGTGGTAATAGTCATTATAAATATCCTCTGAGCTAATTTTAGCCATGGAAGGCAACGCTGTACCCAATAACGTTCCCCTATGTCAAAAATCCGTGATGTAACTATCACAGAGGACAAGAAAACTCAAACAATAGTAGAGAGGCTGAACATGTTCTGTACGGCAATTCAGCATAGGACAAACATATCCTCTCTCTCATCAATATTAGAGCCAAACATCTTAGAGACCATGATTTTTGCAATTATATGTTAGTTCAACAAGTCAAGAAGCAATTTCCCATAATAGGCTGGAGACATTAGCACAGAGGGATGAAGTGATCTGATTACTTTTCCCTTTGCTGTAAGAACTCTGTTTGCATCCATGCGTTTATTGGCATCAGAAGCAAATGAACATTTGCACAGAAGCTGGATGATTTTACAGAAAATTATGGGGCTGAATTGTACCAAATATTACAAAATATAAACCCCTCATTTACTGCAAGTGAAAAGGTGCTTGGGTTGGTACCGTATGAACTCAAACCAATACTAATTGGCTGACATTATCAGTCTCATGAATGATAACGTTCCTAACAAACTAATATTGGAATAAAGTCGCAAGAAGGCCAATAAAAGTGTCAGTGGTGTTATTTAATGTGCATTTTTAGCAAGGAGCAAGGGCAGCTCATTGAGATTCAGTTGACACAGCAGATTGTTATAATACCAAACAGTCACTTGTGTTGCTACCCAGTAGACAATAAGAGGGGCAGGTCAGTTCATCTGGCTTTATCTCTAATTAGTGGTAAAGATGCACAATGAAAACAGTGGCAGGAAGCAGCCTTGACCTTGTTAAATTAACCACAGCTGATAGAGGGCAAAGAGAACAATGTTTTCAAAGCTAGAAAGCTCATCTGTGGCACAGTCATCCAAAGTCACTCACCTAAAGAGAACCTTCCACATGCCAACAAAGAACACCAGACTGTCCCTTACAGCACACTTGTGTCCAACACCCCACCCAGGCCACATGTGGGCCACAACACGTCCTAGTGGGCCCGAATCAGATGAACGTGTAATTGGGAAATCAATAAAGGAAACAATAAAGATAATGTCAAAATGTTATTTTCTAAGTCAACATGTGGCTTATAGGAGGCCTAATGGATAGTTCAGCGGCCCCTATTTCTATTTGAGTTTGGCACCACTATCTTTCAGCGCGTTTTACGATTCCCATAACTTTTGTTTCTCATGAACACAAATTGTTTTTAAAACAGAGTTCTGTTACCTTGTTCGCAGTGGCTTCCTGTGAATCCAGATGGACAGAGGCATTTGTTAGGGGCCACGCATGTTCCTCCGTATCTGCATCCCTCTTCACAGAAGGCTTTAGAATAAAACAAATGAGTAAGATTTTTTTAAAATACAATAATTAACACCAATTTTTAAAAGTGCTATGTGAAACCTTGAAACATCAACTAAACCATTAGGTTGAATTTTATTTCTTAAAAATTGCTTTTATATTTATAGTATTTTTACACATTACAATTTGAAAATAAGTGAATAATACAGATTGGTGTAGTGAGTGGACTTGGAACCAGGAAAGACCTTGGTTTAATGTCAATGTCCACATCTGACTTAAAATAAATGTGTGACCATGGGGGAGGAGCTTAACCTTTCTGAATCTCAGTTTCATTATCTGTAAAATTACAGTAATAACATGTATACCTATACCTCATGGGGTTGTTGTGAGACTCAAAGGAGATATATTTATATAAAGAGATTTATATACTTTAAATCACTATTGTTTAATTTTTGTTTATTCTTTGTGCTGTTTGGGAGTGTTGTCTGGATTTATAGTTCTGTGGCATAGGGAACTCTCCAAAAGGATAATGAAGATTGGCCTTTGCTCTGTAATTTAGGGTTGTAGAGAACTGTATGGAACAGCAGACTGTCAAGTGATCCAGTCATACAACCAGTGTATTTCACAGGGAAGACTTGCATTTAAGTCTTCCTGACTCCAAGCTCAGGGACATTAAGTGACTACCCCAAGGCATGGATATGATAAATAGCATACCCAGGGTGGGAACCAAGGGCCATCTCCTTGTTACCCTTGTATACTCAAAACATTGGAATATTATTCTTATCCTAATTTTATAGGTGTAAAAATGGAGGGACATGAAGTTCAATGGTTTGTTTTCAGTTACAAGATGAGTAGAAGAACCAGGATGTTTAGCTTCAAATTCCATGTTGCTAATCAGTTTTTATTACAGATTACTTTTCCTATACTAACTTTCCAAAAGGCTTCATCATTCTGATAATACATTTGATTGTAGTTATGGAAAAAAGCTAGATAGTAAAACCAAATTATCTTATTTGTGCTGGTTTCTTTTCAATTAAAACTTTTTATTAGAGGAAATACACATACATGTACACATCTGTGAATATAATTTGTCCCACCAAAAATTTTTATTGGCCTGCACTTGATAAAATGTATGAAATGGCGTATGCCGTAGACTGTGTTATATGGCATTATTAGCCAGACTGTTCTGTTCTGGAGCATTTTACAGTTCTGTAAAACCAAATGTTCATAGCACTGACTCTTAAGACCATGCTACATCAGGTAATGCTTTCATTGAATCCTAGAAGTTGAAGGAAAGTCAAAGATCATCTAGTCCAAATCTTACTAGAATCCAGAATACTCTCAGGTGTATTACTAACAAGTGACCATCTGTATTCAGTTTGATGATTCCTGTGACAGAGAGCTCGCTCTACTAAAGCAATCCATTCCATTGTTTGGCAGATCAAATAACAGATGTTTTTTTTTTTTAATTTATACATTGCAGCCTCTTTCTATCTACAGATACATCTTAACACTTCAGATATTTGGAAACAGAGATTATGTCCCCACTTAAGAATCATTTTCCCCCGGCTAAAAAGTTGTGATTCTAATATTAATTTTAGATTAATATTAATTAGATCTTGGTTCCTCTTCCTCAAATGTACTTTATAAAATGAGTACCCAGAATGGAACAGATTCTCCAGTTGTGCTCTAATCAGGGTAGAGAACAAAGATCTCTCTTTATTCATTTTAGGTTGTATACTTCTGTTAAGAAAGGTAAGATAATATTAGCTTTTTGGACTTCTACAGCACACTGTTGACTCATTTTGAACTTAGAGTTTAAATATCCAGTTTTTTCACATAATTCTAGCCTATTCTTCTCAAAAGGGCTGCTGATAATGGGAGCTCCAACTCCAACAGCATTCCCTAATCACACTTCTCACGGGGGCAGGGGAGAATGGTAGGAGCTGACTCCTACTGATCCCCTAAAGTCACAATGGGGACCAGTTGAAGCAAGCACCCAGATTTCCCCCAAGCCTTGATGGGGGCTGATCAAGGCAGGGACATGCATTCCTCTATGCATTACCCAAATTCCAAAATGGGTTCCTCACTCAGTGGTCAGGGCCCACTTGATTTATCAGGCAACAGACAAAGAAGGCATCTTATCAACATTAGCCTCACGGGTTAACTTTAGCAATGTCATCATGACCTAGCACAGCGCACACATACATGATGTCACCTCTTTCTCTCTACTGCAACTTCATGGTAGAAGTTGTTTGCAAACATAATTGGTGGGGAATGTTATCTAGGATCCTGGAACTGTCATCTCAAAAGGAATAACAAAATCCCCCTTTTATACACACTAAAGTCTCCCTTACTACACTCTGTGTGTTGTTTCTCTCTATCAGAATGTTCACCATTTGAAGCAGAGGACTAGATCCACTTTTTTTTGTTTGTTTCCTAAGTGTTTGGCACAATGCTTGACACATAGTAAGTCCTTAAGTAACCTTTTTCATTCATTCACTCATTCAGTCATTCCAGTCAAGCAGTAGACAGATCCTATCTGTGTCCTTTTTCTGAAACATGTGTTTGTGTACACTCCCACAGAAATGCACACAGACACTCAGATGCATACATATATACACACACGTTTTATTGTCCTTAAAATTTTCCTTAAGCTTCAGCTCATTCTGGGCTTTAATCTTCCCAACATTGTGAGGGATAATTCCAGTGTTTTATTACTTTACTCTGTTTCATGCTCCTGTTTCAAAAAAATTTTTTTTGGTATATCCTCTTTTGGAATCTGAGCTCATGAAATGCACCTGTGCAACCATATCCTTCTCTTGAGATACTGATTCTTTTTTTTTATCATCAAAGAAGTCATTCAATGAATCCCCAAAAATTTACATTAAGCTCAGTAGAATTTTAACAATATTTTTATTTTATTCCCTTTTAAGAAAACAGTCCATATATCATATTTATGATAATTATTACCTGGAATAACTTAGTCTTTCAAACTGCTGGACAGCTAAAAGGTAACTGTGTATGAACACAATAAGGAACCTAGATGAGAAGATGAAGAAGTAGAGGCCATTTAGTCAAAACCCTTCATTATGCTGATGAAGAAACAAAGGCTCACAGATGTTAGGGACGTAACCAAGATCACACAGGCAGCTAAATGCCATAGATGGAATTTGAATCCAGGTTTTCTGACTAAATCTAGTGTTCTTTCTAAAACACACATACAAGTGAATTAGAGTAGTGTGGTGTGTTTAGAGCAAGAAGATTGGGACTCAAGTCTTGCCTCTGACGTCCGAGGACAAGTATAGTCCTGACCAAGTCACATGGCTTCCATGTGTCTCAGGCAGGTCAGAAGGACTCCTCTACTATTATCTACCTTGGTGGAGTCAGTTCTCACAGCAGGAATTTCCTGTGCTCAAAAATCGTAATCACTCAGTCAATAATCATTCTAACATCCACTGCATGTCAGGCATTGTGCTAAATTCTGGGGATACAAATAAAAACAAAACAGCCCCTGCCCTCAAGGAGCTTACAAGCTAAAGGAGGAAGACAACACTCAAAAGGAAGCTGAAGAGGGAGGGGATGGAAGGTCTCCAGTGAGAGATCGTAATAAAGAAGTTCAAAAATAATGTAACTGGTGGTACATGCGGAGAAAATCTGTTCTGAGCCCCCTACTTAAGTAGAGGCCCTGAAGCTCATGGCCTTGCCCTCTAATTAGAGGGAATCCAATCAGGGAGGCAGACAGCACTGATGAGATGTAAGTACCAGGCAGATTGAGCCTTGTAGGATAATGAAATTCCCCAATCATGAGTTTCCTGGGCAAGTAAGACATGCTGGAGAGTTCCAAAGAAATTCAAAAGCTGGTCCCGAAATAGAACATCAGCCTATATGGAATGGAGTGTTAGGTGGCCCAGTGGATAGAGTGCTGGGCCTGTAGTCAGGAAGACTCATCTTCATGAGTTCAAATCTAGCCTCAGACACTTACTAGCTATGTGACCTTGGGCAAGTCACTTCACCCTGTATGCCCCTATTCCTCATGTGTAAAATGAGCTGGAGAAGAAAATGGCAAACCACTCAAGTATCCTTGCCAAGAAAACCCCAAATGGTGTCACAAAGAGTCAGATATGACGAAACGACTGAATTATGGATATGCCAGGTATCTATTGGTATGTTGAACTTTAACGGGATACTGAGATTACACAGAGTAATGAGATATATAGCATTTTATCTTTTGTTGCTTCTGAGAAAGCTTCACTATAGCCAAATGCATTATGAAATCATAGCTTATAGAGTTGAAAGGGATCTTAGTGGTCATTCAGTCCATCCGCCTCATTTTGCAGATAAAGTTACTGAAGCTCATGGATGTTACACGATTTGCTCATAATCACACAGGCTGCAAGGATAGAGTCTGAATTTAAATTCAGGTCCCATGACTTCACGTTCAGCCCACTATGATCAGATATCTCTCAACTGTACCAGATTGGCTCCATGCAAAAGACTGTATTTGATTTTCACCAAGCACCAGGCAAAAAAAACCATTTCTGGATCTGTTACACCTGTGACTTTGACAGTGGCAATGCTTTTAGAGAGTAGGTGAAAAATAACTCTCACCTCAGCACGATCTTCAGTTTCTACACCATTTAGTACTGCTGGATGAGGCAGCTTTCTGCATTTTCCCTAGCTAATGGAACGCTTCCTTTGATCTAACCAGAAGACAGCATATATTCTAGTATTCCAAGTTCATTTCCTGTTCTGCGTGCCTCAACACTGACAGTCTCTGTAAAAGCCTTGCTGTAACAACTGTGTTTTTCAAAAGCAACTGCAAAAAAAGTCGTAATGTAGACTGCATTCATAAGGATGACTCTTTTCAGCCTCCCTAAGATACATGTTATCGTTTTTTAGATACCTAGTGGGCAGCTGTGAGTGAAGTTTTAATAAATATTTAAAGAGCAGTCCTGTGCTGGAGTTAATAACTGAATTACAAAGTGATTCTGCGAGCCAGAATCAGAGACGGGATATTGGCA